AAAAAATCAACGCCTGCGGCTCAGGGCATGTATTTTGCAAGCGTGTTGGACGGAGATTAGAGAAAACAAAAGAAATCATTGACTGGGAAATTAAGGAGTGACGAATTCTGAGCTTGCAGTTTCCACTTATTTTGAGAAAGCAGTTCCTATTTATTCGGATTTTCTTGTCCACATTTATCATTTCTTTCAATAAAATATGACTGAAATTAATCCCAATTAATGAATCGATGAGATAAAAAACAATGAAAAATCAACACCAAAGAGCGAATAGCATGTACTTTGCAAGAAAGGTGAAAGAAAACAGTAAAGGCACCCTCTATAAACACCATGAAGTAAAGGGCAATAGCACACGACGCGTCGCGTCGTGCGTCGTGTCGTGCGTCGCATCGTGCTTCAGGCGACGCGATGCTCGACACAATGTACGACGCGACGCACGACAGCACGACGCGACGGGCGACGGAAGGGGCGACGTTTAGGCGGCAAAAAATGCAACATGGAAAATACCTAAAGTAGCACGACGCAACGGGCGACGGCACGACGCGACGCACGACGCGACGCGTCGTGTGTGTACAAACGTAATGGCAAGAAGGCGACGGTGCGACCCGACGGCACGACGCAAGGGAACCGTCGTGCCGTCGCGTCGTTTGGTTGCGTCGCCCGGATGGAGGCTAAAGAGAGAGAGAAATATTTGTCGTAAATAGTACACCATACTGTTGTTATTGCTATTTAAATTTCAGCGGTAGACAGGCCAACAGCGGAGGCGACGGCAAACATGAGGAATGCCCCTGCCACCGCATGGTGGCGCTGTTGCTACACACCAGCATACTCACAATTATATGTAAGATACGCATGACATCCCTCACATTGGCAATACCTAATGCATTGTATATGCATTAGATATCCAATCATGCAAGAACTCGCTGACAAAATGGGCAGTATTGAAGCTATGACTGTGACCTATGAATGACATATTCTTTTGAATGCATATTCCGCTTGAACTACTCCATGCAGGCCTATGTGGACACGTATATAGATAGGCATAGGCCCGTTGCTTGCTTTCGGGATGTTAAAACCGTGCAGAAGCATGACATTCTGAAAGAGAGAGTTTCGCAGGTACTGATAATATATCGACCAATTCATCGAGGAACTTTGTCCACAAAATATTGGTACGTATAGTTCATGATTAAAGATATTTTGTAGCACCGTTTTCCTCCCTAAAAGTCATACTTAAACGCGTGTATTCAAGACTGTAAACGTAGACTCTATCATTAGCCATGTATTAATTTTACCCTTCACAGTGGTTTTTATCATGATCGTTTTCTTTATGGTGATTGGATTAATCAAACATAGGGCAAAGGCCCTTTCACTCTTTCTAGACAGGAATTTTGCTAAATGTTTTTATAATTTTTGTGTACTTGCACATTAGTGCGTGCAAGTAGGGCACACAATGGCGTGGCGGGACCTCCACACAAAAGAAATCCATAGAATATTCATGTGGACTCCTTTTGGGCGGAAAGTGTTTTCTTCTCTCTGAAGAACAGCTTCACAGGCATTTTTGGGTCTGGGTAATCTGTGGCGAAATGCAGGAATCATCATCAAAAGTCCAGCTCAAAAAGTCCACCTCATCATTAAAAGTCCAGCTATTGTAATGCTCCTTTGTAATTCAAAACAACTAATGAAAGCATGCTTCAGATGCTTGTCAACTCTCGCTTTGTTTCGGTCTTACGAATGCTTCCGAATTACATTCCGGTGATTCCATGGGGGGGGGTTCTTTATCAAATTGTGACCGATTGTACATCTTACAAAAACATGCTGTCTGAATAATTTCTCATGCTGGATATTACGACCACACGGCCCCATTGTTCTCAAAACATAAAGTGCTAAAGGTATTCGACTTTTATAAATATCAGTTGCGTAAATTTTGGATAAATGTATGAATGATAAGCTGCCGCTGTATTTTAAATCATACTTTAGACTTACCTCAAATGTTCACTCATATCATACCAGAAGTACCTCTCAAAAGAAATTATATGTTGATACCAATAGAACTTCATTACACAAAAATAGTCTAGTACTAAATAGTAATAGCCTAAATGAAATTATGAAAGCAACGCCCACTTTATTAACATTTGCTCTAAAGTTGAAATATCTAGTATTTTCTGAATACATCACCTGTACCGACTAGAATTGCATTTTGATGCATTGTATTATCTCCTGCCTGTCAGTGTTTGTCCGTATGTGTATCACTGCCACAAACATATTCATGTCTTGTATTGTCCTATGTTATAATATGTATGTCTGTCAATAGGTTAGGGTACAAAAGCGAATCTGTGCTTCACCCTTTACCTAAATGTTGTTCTTTAACGTATGCTTTATCTTTCTGCTTGACATTGTACATTCTAAGGCAAACTATTGTAAAGCGTATTTCATCTTCTACTCTATAACCATGGTATGAACAACATTAAATAAACGTCTAAAAAAGAAAAAGAAAAAAAGACGGAGTTATCATAGCGGAAGAAAAAGGAGCTTTGATCTGAGTTTTCTTAACCAAAGGAGAATAAAGGAATGTTAGCACTCCCTATGTAACACAAGTATATAAAAACCTACCTAGGTCTAATTCACAGTAGTATTTTGTTCCAGCTTTCCTGTTTATTTTGTTTCTGTGCAATTTCAATTGTTCTTTTATTACATATTAATACTTATATTCTATATTACTTTCTGGTATAAAAGACACCAAGGATTCCTCAAAAGTGCCCTAGCCACTGTAGCTTGCAAGCCTGAAGAAACCTGTAGAGAGGAGACAATGAGAAACAGTTACAATTTTTGAGGTGGGGGGGGAACCTCAGAGGAATATTCTGGGTAAATCCCACGGAATCAGGTAGGGACTGACAACCCAATCCACATGTGGACCGGGCCGGGATTCGAACCCGGACTGTAGACACGAAAGGCGAGGAAAGGACCACTACACCAACCTGACTCCCCATAATGTCGCACATGTGATTATAACACGGCTATAAGCAATTTAGTCCCAAAAAAGTCTCCGGTTTCTGGTCAGGCGCTGGCTCCAAACGTGGTGCGGCGACGCGACGGGTTTTTTCTTTTTTATTATTTATTTATTCTTACCCTCGGTTTTTTTCTGGAAATGATGTACGTATTACACACAGAGTCCACATGCATGCGTATGTAAACCAGCCGCTACCAAAGCCAGGGGACTCAATTGTAATATTTAATCCAAAGACCTTATCGCTACTGCATTACGTTACGGCGCTTCATAATCATTGCTACAAATAAACGATGCGGTCTAAACATACGTCAAAGAGAAGGGCTTATTTTATGCATGTCTGCATTTAATTTGGAATGTTGTGTGTTAAACTGTAAATTGTAGGCCTACATAAAACTGTTTAAAAGGCTAATTCTTTCAGTAGATTGGCAACTCAAGACTGAATGTGACAAGATTGTTTTTAAGCAGTTTTATTTTATTTATTTAATCTGATATCCATCAGTAGAGATTATGCCATTTAGAGGAATCATTACAATTCATACTTAAAAATATGTACAGACAAATTATGAAAGGTCTTTTCGTTGTAACTTCCGGTGTGAAGACGTCATCAGCTTCAAACTTCACACATTTGTTCTTTGTCATCATAAACGGCCTTAAAAGTGCAGTTTAGATTGGAAAAACCCGAACTGACTTTGGCGTTTTTACCTTTCCGAGCGAAAATAAATTAGTTGCAAATAAAGCCGACGTGAAAAAGGCACTCGCTGAACAGAGGCAAAAGCAGATAGAGGACGTGGAGGCTCATACACAACGAGGATCGGGATGGATCTTTGATAAAGTTGACGCTTTTTACATCAATGTGGTTAAATATAACCCGGTGGGTGCGACTAGCATTCCATTACCTGCTCAATTGGGGCACAAAAAAGTAATCATAAACTCGTCCAAAACAACGACCAGCAGTGCATCAGATGGGCACTTAGAGCGGCTTTAAAGTTATATTCAGACTACGTGAAAAGTCAGTTGGAAACGAATTCAAAATTTAGAATAAATAACGAGCGCACTTCGACTTACACAGAAGCAGACGATCTAAATTTTACAAACATAAGCTTTCCGACACCCATATCTCAGATCCCACGTATCAAATCGCAAAACAACTTAGCAATCAACGTGTTTGGTTATGACAAAAAAGACGGTCTTTACATTCTTTACAAAAGTAAACGCTTAGGTGAACCGATCAATTTACTTTATTTTTCCCAAGGTGAAAAGAGTCACTATTGTTAGATTAAAAACTTTTCTCTGTGATGGGTGATATTAATAAACACGACGGCCCAAAACACTGGTGCTTTAACTGCATGTCACACTTCCAAACAGAAGAAAAGTCAAGCGGGCACAAAGAAGATTGTCAAGGGTTAGATGCGGCTCCCTGTAAAGTCGAATTACCCGCCGAAGGTAACAATATTTTACAATTTGAAAATTACAAGAACAATCAAGATGCACCTTTTGTCATTTACGCTGACTTTGAGTCAAAAATTACTGCCAACAGATACAAAGACACACAAAGTCAAAACACAAATCCATAAGTCTTGCGGCTATCATGATACGCGGTCGTCAGATGCGACGGGATTAAGTGCACTTCACGCGAGATTTATAGAGGTAAAGACGCGGTGGTTAAATTTGTGCAGTCGCTTTCCAGAGAAGTTAAACAAATGAATGAAACGTTTAAAAACAAAGAGCCGTTGGTCTGGTCACCTGAGTTACAAAAATCTACGAAAATTGTAACCGCTGCTGGATCTGTGAAAACCTTCTCGGCAAGACAAAAGAATCTCAGTGTCACTGCCCATTTCCAAATGAACCAAAAACAAAGGACGAAAAAGCTGTTTACAGTTCTGCAAACGAAGCTGGGTTCAGAGACTTGTTATGTATGACGTGTACAAAGCCCCTCAACAAATTTAGAAAGGTCAGAGATCACAGTCACGTGACTGGGAAGTATTAAGGCCCGTACCCGCGCACGCCAGTTGTAATCTCAAGTAAAGAGTCGTCCCGAATCAAACACCCATTCCGGTTATTTTACATAATCTCGAGAAATATGACGCGCACTTAATCATGCAGGGCGCTCACGAGTTTAACGGGAAAGAAATACATTTCTTTTTCCTTTGGCCAACTCAGGTTCTTAGAGTCATTCATTTCATTCATTGTTCACCCGATAATTTTTATTTACTTCGCGAAAGGTTTCCAGAAAATACAAATTTATTGTTAGAAAAGGGAATTTACCCTTACGAATACATAGACTCCTTTGACCGATTTGAGGAACAAGCCTACCGCCTAGAGACGCGTTTTATAGCACTTTGAGACAGTCCACAGTGACGGAGCAAGAATACGTTCGTGCAGAAGCAGTATGGCATACTTTTGGTTGTAAAAACCTAGGTAACTTCCACGACCTATACGTGGTAACGGACGTGTTATTGCTAGCGGGTGTTTTTGAGAACTTCAGTAAAGTCTGTACACGGAACTACGGCCTTGACCCGGCTAACTATTGCACGTCACCGGGCCTGTCGTGGGATGCTTTGTTGAAGCACACGGGTTTTAAACTGGAACTGCTGACAGACATAGACAAGCACTTGTTCTTTGAAAGGGCAAAAAGAGGAGGTACTGTATCTCTAGCGTGGGTGCAAAGCGATATGCAAAGGCGAACAACCCGGGCCTACCTGACTACGACCCAAATCAACCGGAGTCATACATACACGGCTGGGCCATGAGTCAATCGTTACCCGTATGTGAGTTTCAGTGGCTAAAAAGTTAGACAAATTTACTTCCAAGTTTATCTCTAAGTTACGAGCCGAAGACACGCGTGGTTACATGTTTGAAGCGACTTTAGACTACCCGCAACACCTACACGACAAACACAACGACTTCCCACTTGCGCCCAAAAATATGTCAATTCCCAATGAATAGTTTTCAAGCTATCAACAAAATTAGCAACGGAGAGCAAGTAACCTCGGTAGACAAACTCGTGGTCACTTTAGGCACCAAACATAAATACGTAATTCATTATCGTACCTTTGTTCCGGACCATTATGTCCGCATGGCCCATTTTGTCCGCAGACTCTTTCAGGCCCATTATGTCTGCCCCATTCTGTCCGCAGGCCCATAAATGATGTCTGCCCCATT